ACACACACACACACACACACACACACACACACACACACACACACACAAATGTTGAAATTCAACACCAAATACTTATAAATGACAAAGGCAACGGCAAAAGTAGTCAATAACAAATTCAGATAATTTAGTTGATTCAATATTAAATTTCAGGAACAGTGTGTGGAATTTCCTTAACATTCCATCTCAATGCAAGCAGTAAATAAGGTCAGGAACTACAAGTGCCCACAAGAGACAAACATTTGACTGAACAGCCCCCCTCCCCACAGATGGCAGTAATGGATTATAAAAGATGAAAATATACAAATTTCAATTTTAGAAAAAAGCACAAATAGTTTAGACTCAGTTAGGTTTGAGTGTCTAAGGATCTAATAGATGAGTCCTACATTGCACCCTTTAAAAAAAAAAAAAAAAGTCCAAATGTTTAAAAAAAAAAAAAAAAAAAAAAAAGGGGACAATTTAAATCGTCACAGTGTAATGTTTAGCTTTCAAGGTTGTATCAAATTCATAGTCACTTTCAAAACAAATTTCCCAAACTTCATGTACAGGTATAAAGTTCCTGTATGAAAATATTTAAGGAACAAATACACTAGTTAGAAAATCCAACGATGTTTGATGACACTGTTCCGACAAGACACTTCCTCTCAGACTGCTTAAGAGCAGAAAAACAAAAAAGTAACGTGTTCACTTCCTGCTTGTATGTCAGGTGTAATCTAAACAGTATGGAGCCGCTTTGTTCACTTGCCATGTTGGTGCAATTTCAAGCATGTGATCACGACAAACGGAAAACGTCACATTTGATCTAGAAGTCTGTCAAGATTATGTTGATAGTTTCTATATTGAACCCTAAAGAGATTATAAAAGTCAAGTAGAGAAGAGTAAATAGCTACATGAGATGCAGAATAACCTTTTCACACAGTGTGCAGTACCCTCACTGGAGTTTAGCGCACATGTCACGAAAACCTGTCGTGTCGCTGTGCAAGCCACTGGAAGTATAACGGGTTTCAGAGCGCAGGTGCTGCATTCTGTGTGAGAGGCCCACAGTAGAGGCTTCCATGGAAGATGTGAACGTAAACCGATTAAAACCCCGACTACACAATCAGATTTTTCTTTCTTTTTTTAAATGTACCAGAATAACGACCAACCTCAACCAACGGCAGAACAAATAAGATCCAGATTCTAAAAAAATTAAATAAATTATCCAAACAAGTTGAGCAAACGGCTAAACCAACTGTGACTCAACATTCTCTTGAGGAGTGCTAAACATGGAGGGATTTGATTAAAACATTTTACAATACGGATAACATTAGTTAATGGAACGAAATAAAAGCACTGGGTCCTGGTGTAAGGTATTAACGGAGTAATGGCACAGGTACAAAAGGAATTTTCAATCATTCTAACTACACTTCATGGCAGATCCAAAAAGGTCAAAACGGTAGCATTGAAGTCCACAAAAATTGTAGTTTTATAGTCATAAAAATATATTAAGAGAAACTGATTCTTTATTGCCTCTACTGAAAATTCCCCTTACAATTTACTTCGCGATTCCTCCCGGGCTGAGTGGGCAGAACCAATGATCATCGCCCACTGCTGTACCCTGGGAAAAACTGATTTAGAATATCTTGCAGGCATTTGTTGACGGTCATGGGGTAGTTTTTGCCCAGGTCGTGCCTGCATGCCGGGCAGGTGCACACATCTGCTCTGAAGGACCGCTGGAGGCATTCCTGTGGTTAAAAGAGACAACAGCTTTCACTTTAAGGCACAACATCACAAATGTTAAAATGTACCATTACCTAACTCAGCTACACAGTTTTACCTTGTACAACACCAAATGAAAAGAACCAAACTATCAAGTCGTTAGAGACAATGTTTCTTACCCTGCAAACGTTGTGATGGCACTCTGTGGTAACGGGCTGATAGACCACTTCCTGGCAGCAAATGCAGAGGAAAACTTCTTGAACTTTGTTCAAGAATTTCTGCAGAAAGAAAACAGTCAACATGTGAAACGGCTTTACGGATGGCATATCACAAAGCGTGAGAGATTGAGCTGAGCACCTCAGTTATCATTTGCATCTACAAACTCTTCTGTTGCTTTTAAACAAAATCCAACAAACAAACCAGATTCTTCATTCGTACTAGCCATCATCAGTTCAGCAACTACAAGTACAGATTTGTATGCACTCTTTGTTTTCAAGGTATAACGTGTTGACATATATTTTTTTTTTCCTTGATTGAAATCAAACCTATGCGATGTATTAAGTTTTTGCTTGTATTAAACACAGCCGTACTCACCGGTCCAAGAGACAGTGACTCCATGGCTTCATCCCACACCTTCTTGTTTGGCTTGTCATTCCCGATGAGGGACTTCTGCTCCTGGGTAAGCTTGTACACTTCTACCTTACTTTTCTTAGGAGTTTTGCCTGGTGGGGAGTTTGACTCTGACTCTGTTCAGGAAGAAAGAAAACATTTTAAAACCACGTTGAGTATAAAGGTGGCCTATTATAAATCTGACAGGAGAAACATTATTGCAATCGGAAATTATAAATCACATCTACTGACAATGGTACTGTCTTCCAATGCACGGCTCTGGGGTGATTTGCAATGGCAGATCATATAGAAGTAAAAAAGTATACAGAACTTACCGCTGCCCTGAGATTTTCTCTTCCTCTTTGCCTTACTGGGTGTCGCCGCCTCTTCGTCCACTTCATTTTTGTTCTCTTTCTCTTTCTGATAGCCAGCAGGGTACTAGAACAAGAATCAGTCCATTTAGTTAAAGTTATGCTACTGCAAGAAATCCATTAACAATTATGTGGAGTTGAGGATCTGCTTGTCAAACAAGGCCATTGATATTTATTGCTTGAACAAGTTTTTGCACATATCGTGCTTTCTGATGCGAGGTTTATTTTACTGGGAATATGATCGCATCTCAACACCATACGCATGTTTACATCTGGTACTCTGTACATGTTTACATCTGGTACTATGTAGTCTGAATGATCGTCTACCTGCAAGGTGAGACCGAGCTTGTTGATGCGGTCCTTGCCATCTCTGGTCCATGGAGCCGGCTCATCGTCATCACGCCTCAGCAGATACCGCCACACCAAGAAGCCAGACTTGCCCTTGGCTGGCCAGTACTTCACCACCTGAAGGAATGACACAAAGTAATACTCAATAAAAATACATACTCAAAGTCACACGATAAGTTATCAAAACATGTGGAGTTGGCGGCTTACTGATGTTTCAGTTCTGGTGAGGCCAACTAAATTCATCTATTTATCAATATTAAACGTCACACCCCTTGAAAGATAGTTTGCATAATTGTTGTGCGTGTGTCCACTGTTCCCTCATACCTTATATATCCCATCATATCGGTTTCCTTCCTCGGGGGAGTATTTACTGTGCTTGCGGCCTTTGCAGCTGCGCACAACTCTGACTGGTTTTCCTTGCTTCCAGCTCTTGGACTCCGCTCCATTTTTGTTGTTGACGGGGACGTTGCAGTTGAGAGCCACCGCCCTGGTGAGAGCCAGAGTAAACCATTATAAGATATGCAGAATAAAACGAAACAAGATTTGAGAATTCATAAAACCTGTTAATTAAAAAAAGGAAGTTAAAAGATGTTATGTCCTACCGGTTCATGTGGGTAAGGGTCTGGTCACACGATTGCTCGGCCGTCCTCTTGTTTCCAGAAAGATCTCGTCCCCCAGAGCCAGTGTAAGTGAACTCATTACCATCATCCTGCAATGTGAGAGACGCATCACATATTACACAAACTACAAAGGCTTAGCAGCAGATTTTACATTCATAGAAAACGTATGGATTTCATATCACACCGACTTTTCTGACAACATTATTTAAGCCCCTTCATTTGGCAGATTTTAAGAAAGAAAAAAATAAGCGTACCACGTCATCCTCATATCCTCCAGCCAGCACCAGAGAGTAGGCGCCATCATTGCTCCTGCCGTGAATCCCAGCTACGTGAGGTCTGTGGACGCCAGACTCACTGACCTAGAAAAGCAAAAGAACGGAAACATTATTGGCGGCCACTGGAAGAAGTGATCACAAAACCTGGGTATTGTTAGTACTCTACGCATGTTGCAAAACAGCATTAATTCAACTCTGCAGTCGAGTGACCGACCTGCACTCTGAACTTCCACAGGGAGCCGACGGGGACACCGGGGATTGGTCCATGATGGTTAGACGGGACGATCGTGCACTGCTTGGTGCGACCAACACAGGCCATTCCCTGGAAGGGGCGGAATACATAGTTGAAGTATTTGAAAAGTATCGTATCGTAGGTGGTTGCCTACAGATACAAAGCATGTAAGCTGTAAATCTAAACTATGAATATATCACACTGATTAAAATGTCTGGCTGCAGTGTCAGCACTCACCTTGCCCCAGTCCCTCTGGCTCGAGGAGCTGGCAGAAGCCATCTTGGACCTCTTCTTGCTTCCCTTCAGCTTCTCTCCAGCCAACACCACCTCGCTGGCGTCAGTACGGCAACCTGGGCAATACCTGAGATAGTATGACATGGAGAGTAAATGTCTAGCACAACACATCAATAACACAAGGGATGACCAAAAGAACGACAGGCGACAATTGCCACAAGATGACTCTAATCTTCAACGTATGACTGGTAATCTCCCAACGTTAAATGTCAGGATATCTGAATGTATGAATGTGAATTGTGGCGTTTTGCATTGGATCCTACTGACCAGTCCTCGTCTTCTGGGATGGTGCTGAGCGGAGGGTTCAGGCAGTAAGTGTGGAAGGCCATGTCGCATTCGTCACACAGCAGCTGTTTGTCAGGGTCCTGCTTGATGCCGCAGATATGGCAGTTACACCACTGGCAGTTTTTCTTGGGATCATCCTTACAGTGCTTGCACTCTGGTCCATTTGATCCTGAGAATACGGATATTTCATTAATTATGTATTCTATATCATTATACTGCATGTTCAATGAGGAGGGGCAAGTTTCATATGTACCAATAAACAACTGTTAAACACAATATTCAAAACCCTGATGATTCACAAGTCAGTCCTCACTAAGTCAATAGCTACTAACACACATCTTTATAATTTACTTTTTTTCATCTTAAACCTACTTTTTAACGGACTCTCAGATCCAGCTGGGGCGTCACCCAGAGAACCAGGCTCCTCGATTTTATAGATTTCAGTCAGGAACATGATCCGGCAATCATTAAGAGAGTCACCAGCGTCACTGCAGACAAAGTTTAGAAGAGCAACAACAGGAAACTCAGCAACAATAGGAAACTACAGAGACAGAAACACAGTTGTAGGCAATACACACATAAAAAGTAAGGCTTCTTTTTATACTATCATGAAAACAGCCAAGTGTATCTCTTTCATTTAAGTGTAAATGAGAGCTAAATCAACATACAATGGTTTGTACCCCAACTTATATGCAATCTGCATTGATAAGCAGATTGCAGGAAATTAACCTGTTCCCACCAGGTACTGTGGCATCCAAAAACCCCAAAAAACATTGACATGGTGTTCAAAAATGGCACCACGAGATGCTCACATGCAGCAGGTTGAGGAGATAGTTGAGGCAGTCCCCCCCCCCTCCTACTCTGTGTACTGCACCAGAACGCAGTAACTAAAGCGTTACATGCATCACAGTACTTACCCGAGGATAATCTTGGCGTAGATCTCTCTCGCGGTGCGCGTCTCCCTCTTCCTCTGGATCTCGGCGTCGTACCAGTAGCCCCGCTCCTTGGGGTCGTCTGGGTTGTAGTTGACCATAAGGACCATTCCGGGCTCCAGCTGGTGCCATTGGTACACCGTACGGGACCGCGGGCGAACATCCTTAGCCAGCAACTGAATGACACCGTTCTCTGGGTAGCTGCGACAGTAAAATGTGATACCATGTGAGTTTGTGGTTCAGAGGCAAGCCACACACACACACACACACACACACACACACACACACAC